CATGTGTAAATATATATAGATAGGCATACATAGTTTAGTTCAATTGAATGTGTTATTTATAACAATAGTAGCTTTTTTTATCTTTTAAAAACGAAAGTATTTATAATGCTCCCTAAATAATAAAAAAATAAATTACAGTGAAAGCAATGAAAATTTTGTAGGTTTTGAACCAAACTAAATAACAGTAAACCTTTTTTGATTTACGGTATTTTCTTATTTTGATGTTTTGAGCTCTTTTGTGTTTAGAACAATATATACTAATTTTTAAAGTATCAAATTGAATTTTTGTTCAATAAAAATCTTTCAAATACAACTGTAGCTTTTTTCACCCAAAAAACTTTGTCTTCAAAATAAGGGTGCGTCTTATACACCGGTGCGTCTTATACACCGGTGTGTCTTATACTCCGAAAAATACGGTAATCAGGTGAGAATTTTTATGGAGAAAAAAAAGAAAAAAATCGTTTTTCTGTTTAAAAGCCAACGTACAAACCGAAACAAACGGCTGTATGATAAAATTGACATATATAGAAGAAATTATATCACAGAGAGACACTGTACGTTATTACAGTATTCGTGTTAGTTATAACTATATACTTTCGTCCGCTAAACAAAAAAAAACAACAAAAAACAGTGGATCGCCGAATCACGTTTTCAAAAAGTTAGAATTTAAGCTTTAAATACAAAACAATCACGACTATTAAAGTAAACGAACACTTAAAAAACTAGATTAATTTTATGCATTGTCCAACGTTCGGCTTACGCCTTTCTCAAGGACATCTAATATATTAATAGAAGCACATAGGTCGTGAGTGGAGGAGAATTGTATTGTTGGGATAGCAATATCTAGTATGAACAGTATTCAGTGCTGCAAGAAAGTTAATTAGTTTTATAGATTGGTATTTTGCGTTGCATTACACCACAATACATGAATTTACTAAAGATTTGAAATTCTAACATTACAGAATTTTTCAAAAATGCATATGAATCTTCTATATGCTGAAAAACTATGAGTAAGGTTTGGTTCTTATGGATTATATGGTCTTTTTATATTTGCTTTAGAAAACAACAAGGTTGAGTTCGTGACAAAATCCGGATTTAAACAGATTTGTTTTAAGGTGGGATGTTGATTATATCAAGGCGTTGGCTTCAGTATTTGCTTTCTTTGTAGCTCGTAAAGGTTTTCTTCTCATACAATAAAATAAAACGATTTATAAGACGCTACTCTATGCCTTATTCTTGCTTTTCTGGTGGGTGGTTGTGACGTTCATATAGGCCTCATACGTTTTATAAAGCATTTTTTTCTAAGCCACTGATGCACCAGTTGCTTATGAGTGACGTGCCCAGAGTGGATGAGCTGGGTCTCCCTACCTTCCTTCTCTTACACCCCCAAAATGCTCTTTTTCTGTGTCATAAAAAAACTGTCAACATGTACTAAAAGATGCACCTGTTCCATACCTTGTTTGTTGCTAGTTATTAGGAGAAAAATGATTTCGGTTTGAATATACATATGACACAGGGACTTGTAAGTCTTTAAATTAAAAAATAATTATGATATGTTATTAAGTGCTAATACGCAAGAATGCACCGTATAGTTTTTAGAATTTAGAAGTGTTTATAAGACTAAACGAAAATCTGTATTTTTGTTATTGCTTTTTTACCTTATGTGTACGAGAGGGCAACCCACACTCTCCATAGTCTCCTCTAGCCCCCCCCCCTCCCATCCTAAAAAAGCTTGCTTTACCATGCTTGAGAAGTGCCTCATTTTGTCAACAAGCCCCTGTCCCTGTTTTACTTTGTTGGTTACATGTTCCAGTAATAAAAATGATAACACAGATACCGTCAATATTGCAGTTAATTTTACTAGTTACTGTTGGGATTTACTATGTATATCACAAAAACATAAGTGATTTCCCCGATTTTTTTATTGTGCTTTCTTTACACTGATTACTGTAACATGGAGAGAAAAATTATTCAGGATGATAGCAGATGTTGACCCAACCTGTATTGAACGGTATATGAAAACATATCGATAATTTGACAGACGAGTTAATTAATATAATCTGTTTTTTCGGACATAAACATCTCGTGTTCAGTACAAACTATTAAGTAAAATGACCTATATAAACAAAGTTTTGGTTGATATTGTATTCACAATCATAGAAGAAGTAATTAGAACATAGCTTTTGATAATATTATCCTCAATCCTATCTCTATGTTTTAATATACGTTGACGCTGTTTTCCAAATTACAACCTTGGACTCGTGTGGTCAAAAAGCGCCTCTTACGAAAGCGAAATCCGCAAAATAAACCAAGCCAGCTATTACCATCTTGCTACTAGGCAACAGATAAAGCCAATCAGAAGTAGGGTTTAGTTGTTGAAAGTTATTTATCACATTTCGATTTTTAGAGATTTTATATATTTGCAAGATTTTGTCCTGATGCTCCTATATTATATTTGACCTCCTGTTTGTTATTAACTTCCAGGATATATTATGAAATCTGAATGTTTTCACAGTGTTTCAGTTTGGAGTAATTCATTTCTCGAGATGACTTATTTCATCTTCTGTTCCGTGTGTTTGAAATTTCGGGTTCTATTTCATCAGAATATAAGTTATTTCCTTAAACTGGTCTTCAAGTCATTATATTTTACATATATCTGAAATTGTCACACATAATTTAAAATCATCTTTGGTTTCAAGCAAAAGTTCATTACTTTTACTTTTAGTTAGTTTGTTTGTTTTTAATTTCGTGTAAAGCTACACGAGGGCTAGCTGGGCTAGCCGTCCCTAATTTAGCAGTGTAAGACTAGAGGGAAGGCAGCTAGTCATCCTCATCCACCACCAACTCTTGGGCTACTCTAATCCCAGCGAATAGTGGGATTGACCGTCACATTATATCGCCCCCACAGCTGAAAGGGCGAGCATGTTTGGTGGAACGGGGATTCGAACCCGCGACCTTCAGATTATGAGTCAAGCGTCCTAACCACCTTTTACTTTTAGTAAGCTGCTCTTATTCTTGGATGATAATGGTAACGCAGGACTGCGAATTTAAACTCCATAAAGTTATTTTTAGTTTTAATAATGGAATTTCCATAATTCAGTTACGCAGACTTCGAAAATATTATTAATTTTTGTCTATCACGTAAATATTTTTTTACAAATCGGGAAGAAAAACTCTTACTTAGATCAAATTATTTTTTCGTTTACTACAATGAACATTTTTATTATTATATTTGTGAACAGACATACAAACAAACGGAAGAAAAGGGAAGAACATTGATGTCAAATGAATATGCATCCTCATTCACCCTAATTTTTTGTGAAATCTACGTCTCAAAACTACGTGTTGTGGTCTTTCTTTTATGTATTGCGTTATGATGTTTTGTGAAAAATTTATACCTGATGAAGAAAAAATGGATATGATTTTCGGATTCAGCGTACAAGAATTACCGTAGAACATGTAAAAATTTCAAGAGAATAAAACAAAACCATTGAAGGCCTGTATAATTAATTATTCATTAAAAAGTCCGTTTGGGGGCGCCACGAAATTAAAGTGGAGAGTTCAAGTTACAAATAACAGATAAAAATACTGAGTATTGGCCAATAATGACGCTCAAACTACCTGATTATTAGTGCCGAAGTCTATGGTGACAGGGAGAGTTAATTCTGGGGGAATTCCAGCCAGTGCAGTGTATAAGGCTAGCTTTCCAACAGGAATTCCCATGCCATTAGCACCCAGGTCTCCGAGACCCAAGATACGCTCGCCATCAGTCACAACTATAGCCTATTGAAAGAAAAGAAAAGAAAGAAATCCACCAAACTCTTTGTTACAGACTGAATTATATTGAGATGAATCTTCAGTTAGTAAACTATTAGCTATTTCTTTCACTCAGAAGTTGATAATAAGGACGGTACTACATAGGATATCATCAATTAGTTCTCTGTCACACATGTTTTCCGCACATTGTTAAATGTAAAACAAAGGCACTACAGAGAAGTTGAAAACTAATAATTGGTTCTCCAGCACGCATGTTTTTCACACATTGTTAAATGTAAAACAAAGGCACTACAGAGAAGTTGAAAACTATTAATTGGTTCTCTGTCACACATGTTTTCCGCACATTGTTCAAATCTGAAAGAAAGACACTACATAGAAGTTGAAAACTAGTAATTGGTTCTCTGTCACACATGTTTTCCGCACATTGTTAAACGCAAAACAAACATTACACAGAAGTTGAAAACTAATAATTGGTTCTCAAGCACACATGTTTTCCGCACATTGTTTAAATCTAAAAGAAAGGCACTATACAGAAGTCAAAACCAACAATTGGTTCTTCGTCGTGAATGTTTTCAATATACTGTTAACTGTAAACAGAATCACTACACACAAGCTGAAAACTTCTAGTTCTTTCTCCCCCATGAACATTGTTTACATGTTGTTAAATGTAAAACAGGTGTATTGTAGGAGGAGTTGTAAGCCACTAATTTCGTACGCACTTTTTTTTTCACAAATTGTTCAGTCTCTAGCTAGTTCTCCATCACGCATATTGTCCACATATAGAAAATATAAAGCAGAGATAATACACAGAAGTTTAAACCACTACTTTTTCCCCGTCACATCACGCATATTGTCCACATATAGGAAATATAAAACAGGAATACTACACAGAAGTTTAAAACCACTAGTTGTTTCCCAGTCACATCACCCATGTTGTCCACATATAGGAAATATAAAACAGGTTTAAAGATAAAATCTTTAAACATGTCTTAATGTAAAGAAAGGCTAAATCAATAGCTCCTCTTCCAGTTACAAATTAAATCTATAAACATTTCGTTATGTAAATAAATACTAAATCAATAGCTCCTCTTCCAGTTACAAATTAAATCTACAAACATTTCGTTATGTAAATAAATACTAAATCAATAGCTCCTCTTCCAGTTACAAACTAAATCTATAAACATTTCGTTATGTAAATAAATACTAAATCAATAGCTTCTCTTCCAGTTACAAATTAAATCTATAAACATTCCTTTATGTAAAGAAATACTAAATCAATAGATCTTCTTGTAATTACAAATTAAATCTACAAACATTTCTTTATGTAAAGAAATGCTAAATCAATAGCTCCTCTTCCAGTTACAAATGAAATCTATAAACAATCCTTTATGTAAATAAATACTAAATCAATAGCTCCTCTTCCAGTTACAAATAAAATCTATAAACATTCCTTTATGTAAATAAATACTAAATCAATAGCTCCTCTTCCAGTTACAAATTAAATCTATAAACATTCCTTTATGTAAAGAAATACTAAATCAATATCTCCTCTTCCAGTTACAAATGAAATCTATAAACATTCCTTTATGTAAAGAAATACTAAATCAATAGCTCCTCTTCCAGTTACAAATTAAATCTACAAACATTCCTTTATGTAAAGAAATACTAAATCAATAGCTCCTCTTGCAATTACAAATTTTTGGATATGGTAATTTCTGATATGTGGACAACATGGGTGATGTGACGGGGAAACAACTAGTGGTTTTAAACTTCTGTGTAGTATTCCTGTTATATATTTCCTATATGTGGACAATATGCGTGATGTGACTGGGAAACAACTAGTGGTTTTAAACTTCTGTGTAGTATTGTTGGAAGCCCTTGTGAAACATTTGTCAGTGAGCTTTAACATAAACATATTATTATTTTATATATCTATATTTTACAGAAATAATGTTTATAATCTTTAGTTTTTTTAACCCTTTGCTTAATTTATCCACTCATTCCGCAGGTGCGAAATAATCTAATTACCAAAATACGCTATAATAGTACAGCTTTTGTTTTCTGGCAGTGATGGATTTAATTTTATTATTTATTTAAACCTAGCGAAGAAAGGCTTATTATAGATATTTAAAACAAAAAATTCACTAGATGGCAGAGTGGATAATCAATCAAGTTGTTTCTAGAGATAACATAGTTTTACTAACCTTAACATTTCTTTCCGGCCAGTTCCCTAAAATATGATGAATTCTTCCACCATCGTGAACTGTCAAGAAAATTCCTCTAAAAAACAAATAACTTTACTATTTTAAATGTTAAATATAGAAAAAGGCAAGTGATGAGGAGATTTATCTTTCTGTGAAAATCTCCATCACGTGTGTTTTTTTTATTTTAGCTATATTCTGTCTTTCTGTAGATTCTCAGATTCTTCCTTTTTGGCAAGTCATATGTATAAGCATGTACATAAACAGAGAAGGATTCTGCTTATTTTGAACAATAATTTAAATACCTAAAAATTGGGTTTATAACAGAAATCCCACTAGTTTGAAAATAATCACCATATTTTACAACACAACAAATACATACGTACTTCGCACTTAGTTATATATAAGACACTTCAATTATATTTTACAAAACTTTAAACATATCAGAACTTATGAATGGTAAATAATATTTTACACTATACGGTTTTGAATGCATTCTAAGTGAAAATATTAGATCAGATAATATGTATATATATATTTTTCACGAGTTATTAAAATATTTTACCTTGGGCGGTGAAAAATTGTGCTGTATTTAATACAAGCTAAGCCTACTGTTGGAGTGTAGACTATTGGCATCAGTTTTTCCGTATGCTCCATCATTACCTTGTAGAAAAGTTCTTCATCGAAGTCCTTAAATAATTGATGATATTAAGTGTTTTGATCATTTCTACAATATCATAACATACCAGAACGAAAAACTAACTGATTTTAGATAATAAAACGTTATAATCAAATCACTATACTTTGAAAATTTTCCAAAGATTTTTCTGAGTAGAAGTTACAACCATACTTGTTTAGTTTTGACTTAATATATAAGGAGGTTCTACGTTATCATCTTAAATATTACCAGTTTCACCTTTCTAACTATATAGCCACACATGCACATTCATTTTACAGTATTTATTTTAATTGTTTATGTGCACCTGACAAAACCCTTCTGTAACATTTGAAGAAAACTTGAACGAAATATTCATCTAATAGCACAACCATTACACTACCAGACTGAAATATTCATCTAATAGCACAACCATTACACTACCAGACTGAGGACACTCATAGCTAGGAAAGGCCTTTCCCATGGTGCATTGCTCGGTAGGATTCAGTGGACAGGATTCTCATAGTTAGGAAAAGGCCTTTCACATGGTGCACTGCTCGGTAGAATTTAGTGGACAAGATTCTCATAGCTAGGAAAGGCCTTTCCCATGGTGAATTGCTCGGTAGGATTTAGTGGACAGGATTCTCATAGTTAGGAAAAGACCTCTCCCATGGTTCACTGCTAGGTATAATTCAGTGGACAAGACACTCATAGCTAAAAACAGGCCTCTCCCATAGTGCATTGCCAGATGGGGTTCATTAGTTAGGAACATATTTACTTCTGGTCTTAGGTGCAGAGACAAGCGAATACTTGGTGCATTGCACTGGTGAGTTAAGATAACGTTTAAAATCATAATGAATACATTATTTTTCTCTCAGCGAAACTGAAAAGAAATATGTGATATTAAATCCCTCGAACTAGCTGTTATGCACCTAATTTGAGTCTTATTTTTAAACAGTTTCTTTAGAGGGAGGGGGGACAAGATCCTTAAAACCTCATGTTATGTGTAAACGACTATCGGACGATTTGATCAGATTATTTTACAACTTGGATCCTAGTACTTCTCTTAATTCTGGCACTCATAGTAATTATCAAGAACAGCCAATCAGTCGGTGTCAAAAGGCCTTGAAGAAACAAGCTCACGGATGTTCAAAAATCAATTATTTTTTAAAACATTTCGTCCTCCGGTGGGTCAGCGATAAGTCTAAGGACATACAACGCTAAAAATCTGTGGTTCGATTCTCCGTGGTGTACACAGCAGATAGCCCAACGTGACTTTGCTCTAAATCAAACAAATCAAAACATTTCAGTCCGCTTATTCTTACCCCATTTTCGCTGTAGGTAATATGTTGAATAAAAAAAAAGGAAGACCATTGGAAGTATTTATGTGGAAAGTTGGATCAGCCACTCTAAATTAATCACCCTTTAGTGTATATAGTCGAATGGAAAGAGTCACATACTACATTATATTCACCACACAGGAGTTTACTGAGAGGTCAGAACCGCACGTCAGAGCGTTTATTGTGTGCACAAATCTCTGTGCTCTTAGATTTCACGTTTGGAATGCAGCCCATAAGCCACCAATCATACCCGTGGATGCAAGGGATCACTTTAAAGGTGTCTTTAGGGTTAACATTGAATTGAAGAAGAATTTTAAAAAAAAGCTTACGTAGAAATAAATTATATTATTTATCCCCTACTTTGTGGTAACGGGTCTGAGTTTGAGAGCAACCTGTTTAATGCCTTGGTTAGGATTGTTTCACCCGAGTCTTGAAGAGTGATGAGACTAATATCATTGTGTGGATCTGTTTTAGCTGGTTAAGAAGGTTTCACGTTATCTATTCCAACAAGTTTGATTAAATGTTGGCAACGAGGAGTAAATTGTGATTAAAAAAAGTAGGACCGCTCCCTATTAAAATCGAGTTCAGCAACGAAACACGACAATTTTAGCAAAATGGTTGTTTGTTTGAAGTTAAGCACAAAGCTAAACAATGGGCTATCTGTGCTCTGCTCACCACGGGTATCGAAACCCGGAATCTAGCGTTGTAAGTGCGCAGACATACCGCTGTGCTACTGGGGAGCAACAAAATGTTATCTTAGCAACATCGTTACATCAAAATCAACAAGTGAATTGAATAAATCGTAAACAAAAGGAGTCAGAATAGTTACAAGGTTGTGCTATTTAAAATCGTTAATTAAAACCAATATCATATTCTCTAGAGACCCATGTTTAGTGTGGTTTGTGAGGGTTTTGGTTGGATTAGATTATTATCAAGCACAAAGCTACACAATGGGCTATCTGTGCTCTGCCCACCACGGGTATCGAAACCCGGAATCTAGCGTTGTAAGTGCGCAGACATACCGCTGTGCTACTGGGGAGCAACAAAATGTTATCTTAGCAACATCGTTACATCAAAATCAACAAGTGAATTGAATAAATCGTAAACAAAATGAGTCAGAATAGTTACAAGGTTGTGCTATTTAAAATCGTTAATTAAAACCAATATCATATTCTCTAGAGACCCATGTTTAGTGTGGTTTGTGAGGGTTTTGGTTGGATTAGATTATTATCAAGCACAAAGCTACACAATGGGCTGTCTGTACTCTGGCCGCCAAGGGTATCGAAACCTGATGTTTAGCGTCGTAAGCCCGCAAAAGGTACAAAAAAGCCACTTGGGGTCGTTTGTTAGGGGAGCCTTCACGTAATAACCCATGCTAACTCTTAGGTTATTTATAACACGGAAAATAACTTTCAAAGTAGGTGAACTTGTGAATTTATTCGTTTCGGAAAGGGTTAGAGAATAGAATTCCGGAGACGTTTCGCTTTTATCTCGGGACCATTGCACTCGTTACTCCCCCCTCGCCCCCGACAGCGGCCCTGTATGCAATACCAGTAAGGCGATGTGATATGTTTAAAAAAAATATAATTCAACATTTTTCTCCAATACACAGACTAGTCAATCCTGAGCGTATTCTTAGCATAAGATTTAAAACAGGGCAAAAAACACCCTCTGATGACACAAATAGACAAACCTATGGCAACTGTTTATCTTAGAAAAAAAGAGAGAGTAATATTTCATATCTTAAACAAATAGATCCCATAACCTTTAAATAGATTCCATAACTTATTCTCTATATCACAACTTTCATCTATACGTAAAAACATAACTTGACTCGCACGATATTTAAACGTTTTACAGACAAGATGAAAGTACCACTTAAAATTACAATGAAGATTATATGAAAGCATTTGCATACAGGGTGTTTCTCACATGAACAATATATTAAAATACTTGCATACAGGGGTGTTTCTCACATGAACAGTATATTAAAATACTTGCATACAGGGTGTTTCTCACATGAACAGTATATTAAAATACTTGCATACAG